GCGGCGGACAGGGAGTAGCAGTAGCAGCGGAAGCAGTGAAGTGGGCCCACAGGCCACGAACGTTAAGCTCTGATACCATGTCAAAATAGTATGTAGTGTTAGGAGCCATAGCTAGGAGAGTCCTAGCTAGGCAAGAGACAGTTTAGGCAAAAGAAGAGGGTTTTCACTAGCAGCAATGAGGATACATATAGCAAACCCTAGATGGGTTGTACTCGCTACAGAGCACCCCACTACAGGCTAGAGAATAACATTCTGACAACCGAATCTGTTGCCATGTGGCAGGTGCGCAGGTGCTCCCAGGATTGTTGCGCGGGTGCCCACTCGTTCTTGAAAGGGCGAATGCTTAGCTGTTCTTCTGGCGACAGGTTTTGAATCAGTACGGTGAAGGCCAGGAGAGATTCGTTGTAGTACTGCGTCTTCTCCTGAGGTGAGCCGTTAGTCGGGAAGGGATACGAACCGTCGTAGTACATCCAGATTTGAGCGCCTTGAGCTAACAGCTCGAATTCGAAGCTCCAGGTGTAGAAGTCTTGCCTGTCGAAGGGCTTTGTTGTCCTGAGCTTTGATGTTGTCATGAAGAAACTTGTTCTGCATTGACGCCATTGTCTCGAAATGTGCTTGCTGTGTTTGAGCAGGTCCTGGGGCTCCGCGATTGTCGAAGGTGAAGGATCTTTCTGATCCAGCTCCTTGAGGATCGGGAGGTCTTCGGGCGTAGCTGGAGCCGTCGATGCTCATTGGCTGATGGCTCTCCAGTGCGCTGATGCGGGAAATCAGCTGCTCGAGGAGCGCTGTGTCCACAGTCGTTGTAGTAGAAGTAACATTAGTGGAAGGTTGTACTGGGGTTTCTCCAGTTTCTCCGCAGTCGGCGCCTGGCATGATGCTTGCCCTTATGGTAAATTATGCAAAAGGTTGTCGTTGTCAAGAGACCCTTTTTGGCAGTTCCTATAATCCAAACTAGCTCTCATACCATGTTAGAGTGAGGATCTTGGATAGGGTAGGAAGTGCCTCTAGGAGAGTTTGATAGCGGAAGTCTTGGTAGGAACCTTGATCATAGTGAATGTAAATGACAAAGTTGTTTGAAAGGATAGAATACAAGCAAAAATATAGTCCTAACTAGCCATGTACTCTAAGGGGTACATTCCCTTATTATGACTGTTTTGCAGGCAGTACTACAGTGACTCTGACTATTGCATTTCCTTCTTTGTTACCGAGTCGCTGCTTGTAACCGTGCGTGCGGTTACGCCTGTTGACATTCCTCGATGGTGAGTCAATCGTCGGTCCAGATGGTCAACAGTCGCGACAGTTGACTTTTGCGCCTGTTGACCTTCCTGCCTTTGGTATAGGCTGATCCGACTTTTACTGCTCGCGCTGCTTCGATAGTGACTGGTGCGATGTAGCTGCACCTTCGGGAATGCTTAAATGTATTCCCTTCACACTCCAACACGGCGAATTAAAACTTGACACATCTGTGGTATCGAATCAAAAGTTTGGTTGACCGAAATCGCTCGTCTCTTCCCCGCGCTAAAACGTGCAAATAAATACTGTTTATGGAACTAAAAGGGTGGAAATTAGCGCGCACAAAGTATGCGCGAAACACAGAGCACGGACTTTACGCAGAGCGAGACCTTTCCCTGGTAACAAAAGGCGCGTTATTACTCTGATCTTCGATTTTCGACCCTGATCAATCAGAGTTATATACTTTTCAACCCTGAGCAATCAGGGTAGCATCATTCTGAAAAATGTGCACTCATAATAGAGGGGAAAATTTTTTCCCGGAATCAGGGAGGCCCAATATGAAACGTCAGCCCTGATTCCAACACTCTGTCAAGAATCACTGCCAGAACTCTGACCGTGCGTCCCACGCAATTCAGCTCTCCCGTAGAATAGAATTCTCCGCAACATTATCAATCATGAGACTGCCTCCTGTCGCCCTCGGGTTTCCCCTTGCCCAACTTGCACCCAACCTCACGTTGCAGAGGGTTCCTGCTGTGAGAATCCCAGCCACTAACCACTGGAATAAAAGGGCTTGTTTGTGTAGCGGGTGAGTGCGCCCATAACCCCCCAGGCCAACGTGCATGTAACCCTTCCCTAGCATCAATCCTCGATCTCCAGTGGACCTCTGACACCCCCCCGCACTGGGATGCCCGAGGTGCCAACACCGGGATTCGAACCCGAGACCTTCGCTCTGATACCATGTGAGAATCCTAGCCACTAACCACTGGGATAAAAGGGCTTGTTTGTATAGCGGGTGAGTGCGCCCATAACCCCCCAGGCCGACGTGCCTGTAACCCTTCCCTAGGATCAATCGTTGATCTCCAGTGGACCTCTGACACCTGCCTATCCAAAATAGTCGCTCTAATTATGTTGCATCTTTCATTGTATGGTCTGTGTGTCGAGATTGTTGAAGTTTTATTATGTTTCCTAGACTCTACTCTTTTTAATAACTCATAAAAAGGGGTTTATGGCGCGTGTCTTCTTCTGTAGAGGTTCGGAAAGTTGGTTAAACTTTTGCTGGTAATCCCTTTCGCAAATCTCGCCAATTGTTTCGCTTGCGTACATTGTGGATGTAGCAGTAGAATAAACCGGGGTTGATCTTTCGACTCAAACCATGCGTGAATGGAAATTCACTCGTGTGTCCTTCTCACAATCACGAGGTAGCTGCGAACTCGGCGACAGTCGCAGCACACATCGTGCGCACGAATGACTTCAGAATCAGGACGCGTCACATGTCCAACACCGGGGTATGATCGGCTCCAAACATCGAGTTTGTGTGCATCGCGTACGAAAAAGGGGAATCAATCTGTCGGAGCAGTGTTGGCTGCTTCCCCGAGCCAAGTGTGTGTCAGAGGTCCACTGGAGATCTCCGATTGATCCTAGGGAAGGGTTACAGGTACGTCGGCCAGGGAGCGGTTTCGAATGCATACAATGAAATTATTGGAGGAAAAATTTCAACACGTCGGGTAACCATGCGGCTACCCTTGTTGAGGATTGAGTCAGCTATATGCATTTGCAAAATTGCACTAACATATGTTGAAAGCCGTTGAAAAATACCCAACGTTTGAGCACGTAGGGGAATCTTTTGAGCTGCCACGCTGGAACCAGTGCGGTGCACTTTTGGGGGGCTGTCATGTCCAAAGTTCGCAGGAAGGTCATCTTAGTGTTTGGGCATCACCAACAAACACAAACTGGGTAACCTTAGTGGTTTCGCCGCGACTCGGGAAAGTTCAACTTCGGTGGTCGAACTTTCGTGTGTCCTGTGATTCTTGTGAGTTGAGGAGAAGCTCGGGCTACACCTGCCGATATTGTCGAGCCTAGGTCAACCTAGGTTCAACTTTGTACAGTTCAACTCAAAACTCGAGTTTTGCATATAAATTTCAAAAGTCACGCGCCAACACTGACCTCGAGGTTACCGCTAACGAATCCCGAAGCCTACCCTTAGGGCGTGTGACTTTATACAGCGTTTTGCAAAACTCGTTTTTTTAGTCGAACTTCGACCATTTGAACCTAAGTCGACCTAGGCTCGACAATGTAGATTCATTTTGCTCGAGCCGCTGTTCCTCGCTTCACATGTATGACAAGGCACACAAGAGTTCGAGAATCGAAGTTCAACTTTAAACAGTAACTATCGAGTCGCGCTAAACTTTCGTAGGTTACCCGGTTGGGCGGTGACCGTATCCGGCTTCAGTAACTTGTTACGATGTAAATCGTCAGTGTTGGGAATTCGTGAAGTTTCGTGCGTGCGACGAAGGACACACGATTGGATAAATGTGAATGCAGAAATTAGAACGCAGGTCGACTTCAGTTCAGTGTCCAACTTCTTTAACACAGTTTAAACTAGTACACACGATTTCCTAGCGAGTAGTTTTGCGACATTCGCGAAACAGGTTACCAGCAAAAGCTCGACCTCTTTTTCGAACTTTACTGTATAAAGTCACGCGCCCTTAGGGCGCGTTCGTTCCGTCAAATTTGAAAAAGTTTATGTTTTTGGGCGCGAATATTTTGTTTGAGCTTAAGTCGAATGGAATTCGACTTTCCTTGTAGCGAAGTTCGAACATTGCGGGAATAACGCACGCAAGGTCGAACACCAAAATTCGAACCTTTAAGTTACCCGGTACATGCTCGCCAGGTCAACGTACTGCTGTTTTTTGTTTCGCAGTGTACTCCTCAGTTTCGCATGGGCTTCGTGTGTGCCGAAAACACACACGCTCGCTTCAACGTGTACAAGCACGTTCATCTATTCGACTCGAGTCATGTTCGCTTTTCACGTTCGAACTTTTATAAGCCCTAAAATTCGCGATGTTCGTCAGATGTCATGAACGAGATGTGCGAAAACGGTAACCACAAAAAGTTCGAACTTATTTTCGAACTTGGCAACAGAACGAACGCGCCCTTATTTCCCTTGTTTGTTAGGCGCACTGCCGCATCTCACCGACTTTTCGCGTGCTTTGTTCACCTGTTCCGTGTTTTTTGGTAGCCGAAGACAGGTGGAAATGGCAGGAGCTGCTGCGGTTTTTTCGCCTATGCGAGCAATGCTCCTCGCTACTCGCACAGCGCGTGAGACGGTGAACCGCCTTCCTCCCAGTTCCAGCACCAGGAAGCACCGTCAATCAACTCGTTCGCGCGCCGGACGTTCGTACTCGCACCAGCCGCGAAATGCGGAGAATGTTCCGGCAGTGCGAGCATGTACACCGGAAAAGCGGTTCCTAACCGGCGAATCCCTAACGCCAGCATCACTATTCAGCTTTAATCGCTCTAGGCTCGCCGCGTCCCGCGGTCCGCTTGCCGCGAAGGCAGCTGACGGCGGGATTGTTGCCGCAGCGGCTGTCGCGGCGGATTTGGCGGTGGAAAAGAGCGCGAAAGCAGCAGAGTTCGAGCGGACTTCGGGATGTCGGCGATTCGTGTACCACGTGGAAGGGGGAGGGCAGGTGAGAGAGTGGGTGAGGGAAGGTGAGAGTTGAGGAGGGAGATGCGAATGGCAGTTGGGAGGAGACTTTCCATCTGACTCACAAATTGCCTGGATGTGGGCGATTCGTGTACCATGTGGAAGGGGGCGGACAGGTGAGAGAGTGGAGAGGGATGCAGGTGAGAGAGTGGAGAGGGATGCAGGTGAGAGAGTGGAAAGGGATGCAGGTGAGAGAGTGGAGAGGGATGCAGGTGAGAGAGTGGAGAGGGATGCAGGTGAGAGAGTGGAAAGGGATGCAGGTGAGAGAGTGGAAAGGGATGCAGGTGAGAGAGTGGAAAGGGATGCAGGTGAGAGAGTGGAAAG